ATGAAGGCAACCCCCATGGCACATTGCATAATCAACCGTAATGTGTCTCCTAAAACTGTTTTGTCTGAGCGCCGCTACGGACGTGATCCCCATGGCACATCGCATACTCAAGGCACTTGCGTGTATTTAAGCATACGTGTAAGAAGGCAACCAGCATGGCACATCACATGCCAGTTGGGACCGAAATGTCGCTTAACTATGTATGTTTGCTCGCCAAAAAGAAGGCAATCCCCATGGCACATCGCATGCTCAACAACATCGAAACAATTCTTGCGAAAACAAGTTCATGCGCTAGTACGAAGGCAAGCCCCATGGCACACGCATACCCAAAGGCAACCAGATGCATCTTGAAAACATCTTTCCGAAGCACACAAATGAAGGCAACCCCCATGGCACATTGCATCATCAACCGCGATCTCCTCAAACTGCTTTGTTTGAGTACAACTACGGACGCAATCCCCGTGGCACATCGCATGTTACAAGGCACTTAGACGCATTTTAAGCATACATGTTTAAGTACGAGTAAGAAGGCAATCCCCATGGCACATCGCATACCAGTTGTGTGTGTTTGCACGCCAAAAAGAAGGCAATCCCCATGGCACATCGCATGCTCAACAACATTGAAACAAGTCTTGCAAAAACAAGTTCGTGTGCTAGTACGAAGGCAATCCCCATGGCACATGCATACCCAAAGGCAACCAAACACATCTCAAAGACATCTTTTCGAAGCACAAAAATGAAGGCAACCCCCATGGCACATTGCATAATCAACCGCAACGTGTCTCCTGAAACTGCTTTGCTTGAGCGCCACTACGGACGCAATCCCCATGGCACATCGCATATTACAAGGCGCTTAAACGCATTTTAAGCACACATGTCTAAGCATGAGTAAGAAGGCAACCAGCATGGCGCATCGCATTCCAGTTGGGACCGAAATGTTGCTTGACTATGTGTGCTTGCTCGCCAATAAGAAGGCAATCCCCATGGCACATCGCATGCTCAACAGCATCGAAACAATTCTTGCAAAAACAAGTTCATGTGCTAGTACGAAGGCAGTCCCCATGGCACAAGCATACCCAAAAGCAACCAAACACATCTTGAAAACACCTTTTCGAAGCACAAAAATGAAGGCAACCCCCATGGCACGTTGCATAATCAACCGCAACGTGTCTCCTGAAACTGCTTTGCTTGAGCGCCACTACGGACGCAATCCCCGTGGCACATTGCATATTACAAAGGCGCTTAAACGCATTTGAAGCACACATGTCTAAGCATGAGTAAGAAGGCAACCAGCATAGCGCATCGCATACCAGTTGGGACCGAAATGTTCCTTGACTATGTATGCTTGCTCGCCGAAAAGAAGGCAATCCCCATGGCGCATCGCATGCTCAACAACACTGAAACAATTCTTTCAAACACAAGTTCATGTGCTAGTGTGAAGGCAATCCCCATGGCACATGCATACCCAAAGGCAACCAAACATCTTGAACACATTTCTCAAAGCGCCAAATACAAGCAACCCCCATGGCACATCGCAGAACCAACCGCAACCGAGCACTGTTTAAACAGGAGTAGTAGTAGTAGTATAGTAGTAGTAGTAGTAGTAGTAGTAGTAGTAGTAGTAGTAGTAGTAGTAGTAGTAGCAGTAGCAGTAGCAGTAGTAGTAGTAGTAATAGTGTAGTAGTAGTAGTAGTAGTAGTAGTAGTAGTGGCAGAAGCAGAAGCAGTAGTAGTAGTAGTAGTAGTAGTAGTAGTCGTAGTAGTAGTAGTAGTAGTAGTAGTAGTAGTAGCAGTAGTAGGAGGTGCCTTGTGTTAAGTTTTTGGCAAGTTTACCCAGGAAAAAACGAGTCCAAAAACGAGTCTAAAACGAGTCCGAAAAGAAAGAAAACGTGCAGCCGCAACCCACCTAGGCCTCAGCCTGAAAAGCAGGCCGTTGAAACCAATTGATGTGTTAAGCAGACTGTCGGCCTTAGCCTAATACGCATTACAAGCACTTGTTGAAGATACGTGATTTTCAAGCGTGTGCCAATGCGATTGGCCTCCCAAAGCCCCAGCTTCAACAATGCAAGCTGTTCTAGGAATCTTGTTGCGGATGACTGCGTGTGCCAACGCGCTTGGCCTTCCAAAGCCCCAGCTTCAACAACGCGAGCTGTTCTACGAATCTTGTTGAGGATGATTGCGTGTGCCAATGCGCTTGGCCTCCCAAAGCCCCAGCTTCAACAACGCAAGCTGTTCTAGGAATCTTGTTGAGGATGATTGCGTGTGCCAAGGCGGTTGGCCTCCCAAAGCCCCAGCTTCAACAACGCAAGCTGTTCTAGGAATCTTGTTGAGGATGATTGCGTGCGCCAAGGCGGTTGGCCTCCCAAAGCCCCAGCTTCAACAACGCAAGCTGTTCTAGGAATCTTGTTGAGGATGATTGATTGTGCCAATGCGATTGGCCTCGCAAAGCCCCAGCTTCAACAACGCAAGCTGTTCTAGGAATCTTGTTGAGGATGACTGCGTGTGCCAATGCGACTCATGTGTTAGTTGACTGAACCTTCTCATTATCTTGGCCAGAGGCAGTGTGCCATTGCGTTTGTGATGGGAGTGGGCCTCAACATTCAACAGCGCCTTCTTCGCCACACACTCCTCAAAGTATCCGGCCCCCCATGACACACCAGACACTTGGCTTTGTGTACAGTGGGGGGCTGGGGTAGCACTTGCGTCGCCAGCAACATCTAAGCCTGCAACTTCTATCACCTCGAATCCTACTGGCACACAGCTGAACAACACAAGGAACCAGACTCCCATGTCTTAGTTGACTGAATCTTCTCATTATCTTGGCCGGAGGCAGTGTGCCATTGCGTTTTGTGACGGGAGTGGGCCTCAACGTGCAACAGCGCCCCTTCACCAAACACTCCTCAAAGTATCCGGTCCCCCATGGCACACCAGACACTTGGCTTTGTGTACGGTGGGGCTGGGGTAGCACTTGCATCGTCAGCAACATCTAAGTGAAACGAGTGTACCCATGCGAATTGATTCAAAATGGCTTCATGCCACACATCATAAAAGACAGCATGATCATGACCCTAAATAGCTTTCCCCACTGGCACACTGCTTGCGGCGCGAGATCATGGCTTGCGGGGCGTATAACCACAAGGACCCAGTAAGTGTTTTGTCAGGCGTATGCCAATGCGATTGGTCACCCAAAATGCCTCAACATCACCAACACAAACCGCGATCGAGGGAAGGTGTTTTCCATGTGTGCCAGTGCGTTCGGCCTACCCAAAAAACCTCAACTTGATCAATGAAACCATCTCAAGGGACCACGTTCAGCATGTATTTCTCTACAAAAAAGACCTCAATATCACGCAGCAATTGTCTCTTGTAAAAACATGCTAAACCAAACGCCACTAGCACACGGAGTTGCAACGACCCTACCGGATGCGTTTCGTGTGCGTATTACACGAAAAACATGCTGCCAAAACCAAACGCAACGACTTTCACAGGTGAGAGTATCTCATTATCTCCCTCGAAATGTCCTGTGCCAAGCATGCTCGCATGCTTCATGTCTTTTTTACCAAACACCCGCAACCGCCCAGTGCCAGTCGCCGGACTATGTCGCGGGCTGTCCAGGAAGCTGGGGACCTTCAGGGACCCTTCTTCCTCCATAAAGGAGCGCATGGCCTGTTGAGGCAGTTCAGGCAAGCTGTTGCCCACGCACTCCACCCCAACAAAACTGGATGGCGCCTCATTCCGCCTCTTCCTTCGGCTGCGACCGTAGGAGTCCAGGCTCCACAGCAAGCCCAGCACGGAGAACACCAGAACCACTATCCTTGGACTTGCGTCCGGAAATGAAAGCTTGCCTTGCCATGCGGAAATCCGCGGAAATATGAATCAAAGACCTCCATCATGGTGACAATGACATTTGCCTGGGCCTTCGGGCAGGAGGAAAACCCAATGGGGTAGGTCACCAGCCACCTGGTGCAATCAAGACAGAGGCCCGCACGCAGACAGGAAAGGCTTTTCCGCCCCCCCCCCCCTCGCCTTGAAGTCCAGGGCGTAGACCGGACTGGCACCAATGCGAACCTGCGACGCGAAGCCCCGGCCAGCCATGCCTACATGACTACAGGACTACATTGCTACATTGCTACATGACTGTTTGAATTTGTGACTACATTTCTGCATTGATTTGTGACTAGTACATGACTACATGACTATATGAATTTGTGACTACATGACTGCATGACTTTGGGACGCCTGACTACATGACTACATGACTTGACTGCATGACTTTGGGACGCCTGACTACATGACTACGTGACTACATGACTTTGTGACTACATGAATTTGTCACTGCATAAGTTTGTGACTACCTGACCACATGATTCTGAGCCTCACTACTACCTGATTTTGTGCCTGCATGACTACGTGACTACAGGACTACAGGACAACTACATGATTATTGTATGACCACTACATGACCACTACATGACTACTACATGACTACTGCATGACTACTGACATGACTACTACATGACTACATGTCTAAGTGACTACATGACTTTGTGACTGCTGACTACGTGACTGCATGACTGCAAAACCTTATGTGACTACATGACTACAAGACCGCCACCGATAACTCATGGCCGACGGTCGATCCACCTCGACTTACGCTGCCGGGTGGCAATGTCATACAGCCACCAAATGCCCAGGCCGCCCAGCGTCACCTGCAAGCAACAGCTGAAAGGGGGAAAGGGGCAGCTGAATATGCCTCATGTGCACCACGGCAGAAGCAACCGCAAAAGTTATGGTTTTGTAGAGTGCTAAGACAATACATTGCAAGAGACTACGCCAGGCAACCCCTTGCACCCTGCAGCAAAATCAGCACTTTGCAGCTAGAGAGTTCAAGAAGATATGCTATTGCAGCCGAAGTGCCAGCTTAGCACACCTTGGCAACTGCCACAGCGCTCTTCATGCTTGGAATGCTGCCTCTTTCCAATGCCCACTGCTCAGTCAACCTTTCTCCAAAGCAAGAGCCTGCTTGAAGCCTGCTTGAAACAACAGGAAGGCATGCTCCCAAATAGTCCTTCTACATCCCTGTGCCTCATGGCACTTTCAGCATGTTTCTTCGCAAAGGGCATGCGAGTGCGCTTGCATATTGCCTGTGCGCTGGAGTGCATCTCCATTGGGATGAGTGGTGCAAACATATCGTGCGTGCGTGCGTGTGGGTGGGTGGATGGGTGGGTGGCACAATGTTGCCCGTGGTTTGGGCAGTGCAGGATGGATACTGCATTGCATGCGTTGCTGCATGTGCTCGCTGGGGGGCAAGCATTGTGCAGCCAACCATGCCGACAAGTCAATGCCAGGCAACGCAGAGTAGAAGAAGCCAAGGTAGAAGCGATCAGCACCCAGGAAGCCCAGGAAAAGGCTCAGCAAAAATGCCTTTCCAAAGTGAAGATGCCACTTGGGCTAGTTGCGCTCAAGGTTTGCCATTCATCATTCCACACAAGTAGTAGATGTATAACTAAGTTGGATGTTGGTCCAATTTGGTCGAGTTTGGAATGAGGGTACTCCTCCGAAATCCTTGTCAAAGCCAAACGCCTGAAACCTCTGGCTTGCAAACAACCTGCGTGCTTGCTGCAAAAAAATGACCTGCGGATCGGCATACGGGGCTCTGGATCTGCAATGCACGTTCCTCGTTCGCGGTAAAGGCACCCATCATGTGAAAATCTGCAACGCCGGTCCCCAGCCTTGGCTATGTCCTCAAAGCCAATGGGCTCTGGATAGGTACATGTCCATGTTCTTCAGATTCCACACAGGTACATGCACGTTTGCTCTTTCCATGCAAGTCTGAGCAAAAGCTGCCTGATATTAGATACCTGCCGTCGCACACGACACATTGGAATGCTACTGACAATTGTCATCTTACACACGGATAAATTGTAAGTAGTCGAACAATCGCCAGCCAAATCATCGCCACAAATGGCCCTACAGCTGACTTCCGAGCCCTCATCCGGCCCGCCTTGACCTGGGACTTGCGCCGCGTGCGGCACCTCAGCATCTGCCCCATGCAAATTGCCGTCAATGGATTGCACGCCTCTGCGAGCACCCGCCTAATTATATAAAACTGTGTCGGTAGACAAGGTTGATCCTGGCTCATGCCACGGGTCTTTCTGCTTTGGTCACCCTCCAGGCGTCCCCCAAAACCCCCTTTCCCAAAAACGAAAGGGTTCGGTTTTAGTATTTCTAATCTTGGCTGAGAATAGGGGAATAGGGGGAGGAAAATTGGGCACGTGGATCATCCGAGAGATTGGCAATAAAGCCAAGTGGCTCCGGGTCCGCCCACAGGTAGTCACACTCGCAGAAGGACGTGAAGCTTGCCTTGCCAGGATGGCTTTCAGAGATGGCCGCAAAAGGAAGATGCCAATGAATGCCTTGGGCCGCCGCCCTAGTCCCGTTGGACACCTGCCAGCTCTTGTGCAAAGAGTCCATCTTGCACGCTACGGCTTCGCTCGAGACACACCCCAAGCCTTCCGCCCCTTTGTGTGCCAGGCCTTCAGCGGCGCGATGCTCCAGGGCTTGCACTGCCCATGGCCAGAGCAGACCTGCGGGCTCAACCAGAGCAACGCGCTCTAGGCGCAAGGCAAGTGCCGCGCCCTGCGCCTTGTCCCCTTGCTGCGCTGTGCGGCAAGAGTTCAGGGTGCTCGCAGTCTCTGGCATGCCTTCTGGCACCTCGGGCGCTGGTCAAGACTCCTTAGGTGGGTCACCCCATTCAGGGGAGCATCCCAAGCAATTTGTCTTTTCACCTGCCGGAGTAGTGCAGGCCAGGCACATACTCAAAGTCTACAAGGTAGTCTGATTCCTTCTTCCAATTCGGCACCTTTGGCAGAACACACAGCGTTGCAGAAGTGGTCCATGCCCATAAAACACCTCAACAAGCCACGACCAACTGTTGCTGGACTGCCAAAGTTGACAGGCGAAGAAACGCGATGGCTGGGGATGAATAGCGAGCACCTTGGATGCAGGCATCTTCTCAAGCAGTCCACAGCATGTCGATAGCGCCCATGACAAAGAATAAGTAAACAAGGTGATCCTCGGAAAGCCTCTTCTCCAGGGCGCCCCTGTAAGCTGGAGGCGCAGAGCAGCAGAACGGCTCCCAGCAAATATCTGCCCGCCGGTCCTTGGCACTTCGGGCCAGAGCCAAATGCTTCCAAGAGGCCACGCAGTCGATCCGCTCCCCATCCCAAACAGGCGGCCGAAGGCCGAACGCGGCATCTGCAAGCCCAGCAGAAGAAGCCTGGGAGGAGCTGAATGCAGGAACTGATCTACTTCAGTTCCCATCAGCATTGGAGGGTCGTATGAAGTGGCTGGGCGCTGCCAACCCATAACGCGCGTGCAGGGCCAGCTCGAAAACAGGCCCAATCCCCATCTAGCTTCCCCCAAGCCCCTCATCCTGCAGCATACAGATTGAAGCAACACGGGGCAAGCTTGCTGCACAAATGCAGGTAAAATGCATAATATGTCTTACACGGTGAAGGCGTGATGACAGCGTAAGGGCCGTGGCGTTGGTCGTGACCAGTGCAACGCCCATGAGTATCCCGAATGCAGGTGGAAATCTTGTCACGCCACCTCCCAGGGCGCTGCCATTCTCTAGAGTGACCTGGTTGCTGGCTGGGGCGTTTGCGGATGTCGATTGCTGGTAGTCCATACGCATGCGCACTTTCCCGCACTCAAGGGCACTATTACCAAGACCTGCAGGAACTTGCCGGTTTGGCTGGGGCCGACTTGCCGCGGTTTGTGCGTAACTTGCCATATTCAAAAGTGTTCCAGCATTTTCTTGCAAGAGACATAGTTACTTATGTGTGCAAATCGTGTGTGTGTGTGTGTGTTTTACCAACGTGTTTTTTGTGGAACACCTCCTGTGCGCTTCATCGATTTGCTCCCCGCAATAGGGGGCCACACGCTTTTTGATGCGGCAGCATACTGCCCGAGGGTGGGCTTTGCAGCGCGACCGACCATGACAAGATCACGAGCGCTAGACCAACACTGCACCACCAGAAGCCGCAGCAGCACCACCTGAAAGAAACAAGAGGCAGGACTGGAAACTCTTTTACAACAGCTTGGAGATCAAGCCAATCTCCCTCACTCCAGACACGCAAAGCAGAAACAGACGCACGTCTGAAAAGACAAGCCTCCATCGTTCAATTCTACCAGGACAGGAATCGGAATACCGCACAACCTTACATCTGAGGTGAGGCATCCCCTGCTGGACGAGATCGACGCGGAGCGCATCAAGACCTAGGTGTGGCAAGGTGCAAGACCTAGCCTTTGGCGCTCCGGAAACCACGCAAGTCGCAAACCAAATTCCGCTGCTGACAACACAATCTTACGATTTGTGCGCATTCCAGGACACTAATGTGACCGGAACGACGACAATCAAACGCAACGGCATTTAAAGTTCCTTTGGCAATCGATCACACCCTTCAAGCGCCAAGCACGCCGGTGGCAACAGATTGCTCAAGCAGCCCAGCTGGACCGTCTCAGAAGCGACTGCTTCAGGAACGGAGCCTTGTTCACCACGCTTGATTTGTCTCCTGGTTCCAGCAACTCCGTGCAACTCAAAAAGCACGGCTCCGTCTGCAGCGTCATCATCGCGGAAAAGAACGCTGCGCTTGACAAGCTGCATATTCACACAGCTGGCTTCGATGGCAAGGATGAGTACAAGGAAGACTGGAAGTCGACAACTGCAATCACTTGCACCAAAGGCGCATTCACCAAGGTGATCTCCTATCGCGCTGAGACTCTCACCTCTTTTCGCAAGTACTTTCACCATCCCTCTGCCGCAGGGAGCAAGGCAGCCTCACCGACGAACGAACTATGGAAATTCTAGCAGCGCGGATCTTCGTCTGACAATGAGTTCAACTTGAGGCAGAAGCTACTTCACTCAGGAATCCATTTTGCTTGAGTACCAGCGCTTCAGCAGTCAACTGGCTCAAACCAGAGATCAAGAAGCATGTTGAAGAGGGCAAAGAAGGCATTCCCACAAGCTCAGCGAGAATGGAACGCTCTTGCTCGGGCCCAAAGACTCAGACTGTCATCACCGTTGTTGGCGACTATCTCCAGCAAGAATGAAGCGACCAAGCGGTCCACGGAAGGAGCGCAAAAAGCAGAAACAGCGCCGTGAATTCGATTTTCGCAGGAAGACTCTTATTGCCAATCCAGTGGCAAGTATCTTCGGCAAGTTGGGTCCGCGCGTTCGCAATTGCATTTTTGCACTGGGCAAAGAACGATGAGCTATCCACTGCGTCGACGAGAATTGTTCGCTCCAGGATACCCCTGGAATGGTTTTGGTCAATTCCTGGAGAAAAGCAGCGTAGAGCTTGAAAGCTTTTTCAGTGCTGTGGTCAACCCCTTCACTGCACGAGCTTCAGGCATTGAACCTCCACATTATGTTTAAGGAAATGCCAGCTTCCAGAAACTCGAGACGCCATGTGTGGAAAGTGCTTTGCTTGTCTTGCGTTGCTTCGGCATTCAACACATATGCGATCCGCCTTCCATTCCCCGCTCAAGCCTGTAGGATACCGACATAAGTGTGTTTAAACCCATGGGTGCTGTATTCTGGGTGGCACGCCCCACGTGCCATGCTGCCAGGGGGCAGCACGCTTGCCAAAGGCGCAACTCGGGAGGCTCCTTGCAACTTGCGGACCATATCGGACCATACATTCAACTCACCTCACAGTGGCCTCCCGTGCATAAAGCTGATGGCCCGTCTGCATCGTAGTATCCAAACCTTAGGCTTGCCCAAACACATTGGACACTGCAAAACTCCGAGGGCCGCAGAAGCGACTCGCGTCTTTAGTCCTGGGCTTCCCAGCGTCTGACTACCGTCAGTCTCTGTGTGCTCGAACACGCACTGCGTGCTCGCATCGCAGCACTCGACCTGCTCAGCCCGCAGCTCGTTGCAGCTTCCGGCCGAGAAAGTCACATGTCGCGCCCTTCTTGCATCCAAGAAACGTGGCACTGCTCTAAGTAGCCTAGAATCCAGAAGCGCATGGACCGCTGATTCAGGAGCTGCTTTGAGGCAAACTGGCTGTTGCATCACGCTGTTTGTCACGCAACAAACTGATGCTTGCTACCAAGCAGCTGCCGCATGCATTGCGGCAAGGTCTCAGAAAGGGCACCTGACTGCCAACTTTGCAACCGGCCTCAGGCAGAAACTTGCTGCTCAGGACATGTCACACGGGTGAGCTTCGCACACGTTCCGCTTGTACCCACAACACAAAGCGCTTGCAAGGAGCTCAAACAATGTGCTCCTACAACACTAGGCATGGAAACCTATGCATGCATTTCCCGGCCTCATTCTTTGGAAAGTAGCTCAAGCAGGAGAGCCTGGGGACAGGGAAACGAACAAGGGCCTGCCACTGAAGCTCAACCAAGCAACTTGTAGATGCTCTTGATGCAGG